AGGGTGGGCACACTTAACCCCCCTGGTGGGAAGTGCTAGCCGACAAACGGAAGTTCCACGCGTAAGATCAAAAGCCGAGAGAGATCTACGCAGCATCAAAGAAAAGCCTGCAATGGGCCATTCTGGCCAGACGGTGGCGGTGGTGCACTGCAATTGAGAAAAATGCTGACGACATCAAGCGACGCCGACTAAAGAATGCTGCCGGAACACGTCTGATGCTTACAGCTGACCAAACTCCCTGTCGACTGCGAAGTGTGTGTGATTAAAAATGATATATGTTGTCCTCCTTTACCCCCATCATTGTTAGTCCTGTGTCAACACATGAGTAACTGTAAATCGCTCAGATCCAGCAGCTCTGCAAAGATTGAGCGATCAATAAATTGAAAAAAAAAGAAAAGAAACGAGCCCTAGTTCAGCTGAGTCCTGGCCAGTGTCAGTTCAGAAGAGAGGGACTTTCATGATTGTTTGGACCTTGAGGTTCCTTAGGGAAAAGGGATTCTGTAGCTAAGGAGGCAATCAGCAAGGTCCTTTCCACACATGCCTTCAGTGTGCACAGGATGTGATGCAAAGGTGACATGTTCCTATGAGCCCTTGAGGCAGATCTGATATATCGTGAAAGATGTACCGAAAAGCGAACCTAACCGGGGGGTGGGGGATCCAACAGATACTCTACCGACGCAGAGTACGCAGAGTTGTCGGCTTACAGATATATCTCAATAAACATTCTTCCCTTGCCATTGACTTGTGTGCAAGCTATTTGGAACAGGTAAGATTTAGCATAGAGGGAGGGATTGGTGGGGTGGTGTTTTTTTTTTAAGAGATACAGGGTTGGATGCATGATTCCCTTCTAGCCTGTGTGACTTTCTTCCACTAAGTCTACTGAACAGTTTCCTGGGAATAAGCCTCATTGAACAAAATGGGACATACCTCTGTGTAGGCTTGCTTTAGGTTGTTCCTGAAGGCCTCCTCTGATGGCAAATGTCTTTGTCGAATGCAGACTTCCCTGTTGGAGAAAGATTTTGTGGATGGGAGTCAAAGGATCCAATTCATAATGAATAACTCTCCTGGTGTTTCAAAACTGATTTTCCTTACATGGGCCAAAATGTCTCTTTCTCATTCTTAGCACCTCATGCTTCTTGGCCATCGGCTCAGGGTTTTGCTTTTAAATGGTTGGGGGAGTCAAGCTTGACACATGTGTGACACTCTTCTTTGAACCACCTTTCTTCTTTAATGTGCATTAATGTGCAGGCAGGGTTACTTTATTCAAAACTCCCTGAGAAAGCTGTCCCACCGCATCTTTAGCACTCCTGTTATTTTTACTAGGGGCTGACTGATCTCCAGCCCCCATGCCAAAAAAAAGAAAAGAAATAGTTTTCCAGACACATCCCCACACAGCCATACAAAACATTCTTCCCCACACATCCATACAAAAGGTGTTATTCGTATACTGCTTCCAGGTTCATGATTTTAAAAATCTGCTAAACCGTTCCATGATGCCTGCTTTCATTTATTTATTGATTAACATGAGGTACATTATCAGGATAGTTTTGCATTTATTTAGAAAGTCTTTGCCATAGATATTCTTCCCTATCTGTCTCAGGCATGTTTGTTTGGGGGCATATTTATGGCCATAACTTATTTATAAGGAGTTTTTGCTACTGTTAAAATAAATTTGTAAGATTTCTATTAGGAAAACTTCCGTATGTCCTTCACATTCAAGGGTATTTTGTCCTTATTGAAATGCATCTTCTGGTATATTCCCTGCACCTGTTGGATTCTTTAGACAGTCTTCTTCTTGGGGGACCCTCCCTTGGGATTGTCTGTATGGTTACAGGAAGATCATGGTGTGTTTTTTTTCTGTGGTGAGCCTAGTTTTTCTGGATAGCATACTAGAGTGGGCGAGGAGGTCACAGTTACTTGCTCCATTGACAGTAGAATCCTTAACAGAATTTTATTTATTATTTTATTTTATTTAAAACATTTATTAACCACCTTTCTTCCTTATGGTGCTCAAGACAGCTTACAGCATTGATAAAACATAAAATAAATTTAAAACATATTAATCAAGATTTAAAATCACAATTCAGGACTGCTAATAAACTTAAACCAATGCAGTCCTGAATAAAACTGTCTTCAGTTGTGAAAAGTACGCAGACAGACGAGTGATTTCAGCTAATGTACTTTTATTAGTGAGGAACAAGACAAGTTGCTCGACTCGCAGGCCGGCTTATGTGCATAGAAACCCACATCCCAAATACATCCCACTCCGTGTATTGGCTATTTACAGTGGCCAAGAGTTCCATAGGCTCTCGGCCCGGAGCCTAGCCCCCCTATTGGTGTGGTCTAGGATCCGCAGAGTCCATTGTCCTTGGAAGTGAAGCTCGATGGCTTCTGATGACCGCGTGGAGCCCTGGCCTTGCACGTGGTCAGGCCTGTATATATTACAAACTGCCTCCTAAAGACTGAAAATTAGGAGGTCAGGTTCACCTCCCTGGGGAGGTAGTTCCATAATCATGGCCCTCTCTCATGTACCCACCAAACAAACTTCTTTGATTTATGTGGAAGTTATTAGGGGCTCTCCATGGGATCTTAATTCCCAGTCAGGAACGTATGGGAGAAGATGGTCCTTTGGATACCCCAGTCCCAAGCCATGTAGAGCTTTAAAGATCAAAAGCAACACCTTGAATTGGACTCAGGGGTGGATTGGTAGCCAGTGTAATTGCTGTAATATCAGGGTCACATGCTCCTGATAGCTGGCTACGAATAGCATTCTGCACTAGCAGCAGCCCCCAAACACTCTTCAAGAGTAGTCCCAAGTAGAGTGCATTGCAATAGTCAAGCCTAAATGTAACAAAGGCAGGGATCACTATGGCTAGATCTGACTGACCCAGGAATGGATGCAATTGGTGCACTAGCTGAAGCCTGGCAAAAGCATTCATTTTTGACATGGAATCTAATATGACCAGCAATGTCTAGTGGCTTCTCCTCGGGGAGGGGAGGGGATTGGCAGCTGGCTAATTTTGCTGCTGATCTTATTGGCAGGAGAAGGGGGCCAGTGCCTGGAGTGCAGGACTGGATGGATGGAGGACTGCAGGACCAGCCAGCTGCCGGCTAAACTACTTGGCCAAGTGCAACACGGCATGGCTGAATTCATACAGGGAAAGAATTACTTTTAAAATAAGGTTTTAAAGAGAGTTTTTGTGGGGCATGGCTTTAAATTGAGGGGGCATGGCCCCGGGAGGCCCCACCGTGGCTACGGGCCAGCCAAAGTCACACATGGCTGCCTCTTAATTAGATCTAAGCAGAGGTCATTTCGGGGGGATCGCGGGGGAACACAGTTCCCCCGGGTGAGGTGCGGGGGCGGGGCACACGATGAAGCCCCACCCCCTGCTTCCGGCCACCCCGCTTCCAGCCCTCATTCAGCCAGGAGGAGGCAGGAGAAGAGGGAGGTTAAATTGCTTCCTCCCCACCTCTCCCCACCCCTGCCTGCCTGGGGCCAGGGAGGGCCTTGGCGGGGCTTCCTTGCACTCCCGCCAGCCTTGCAGGTCCACCGCCAGGTCCCTGATGTCAGGAGGTGTGGCATATGCTAGTGAGTTATGCTAATGAGTTCCCCTAGTTCTTTTTCTACGAAACGACCCCTGGATTTAAGTATGACTGCTTGTTGGTGATGTAGTGTGTCTTCCTTTATTCAAAGTTCTTCTTTTCTTTAACAGTGAGTGAAGCTTACAAGGCAATCCAAAAAGTTCATCATAAAACCAAGTAGAACAGGGAAAAGTTTAGAAACCCCAAATACATTTTCCATAGGTCGCCACATCTAGCATATGCCACACCCCCTGATGTCAGGGGGTGTGGCATATGCTAGTGAGTTATGCTAATGAGTTCCCCTAGCTCTGTTTCTATGAAACGACCCCTGGATCTAAGTATGACTGCTTGTTGGTGATCTAGTGCGTCTTCCTTAATTCAGAGTTTTCTTTTCTTTAACAGTGAGTGAAGCTTACAAGGCAATCCAAAAAGTTCATCATAAAACCAAGTAGAACAGGGAAAAGTTTAGAAACCCAAAATACATTTCCACAGGTCGCCACATCTTTTTTCTAATGAAGGGTATCTTGAATATACTTGCACACCACATATAGATAGCCCTTTAGAGAACGAGGACAAATGAACGGGCCCTGCAAGACAGGGCAGAAGCAGGAAACTGACTTTTATTTAATATAGCAGGTGGAAAATCAACTGACTGGAACAGGGGTTGCTGCTGGTGGTGGAAGAGTTTTTCATACATGATAATTATAGTCTCTACAGTTTCTGTCCAGGGACTAACAAATGAGAATGTATTTTAAAGCGTTACTGCAACTTGTCACAACAGCTCATATGAAGAGGTAATTTGAAATATAAATGCTACATTACAGACAAACAGCTTATCACTTGGCTATGTGCACACCATTGCTAGCTGGTAACTGAACCTCAGTAGTCACCCCAGAACCTAATAGAAGAGGTAGATCAGAGAATCGTAAATCAAATACTCTTAATGTAACTTGATGCCTCTGACCAGTATTAACAGCAAGCTATAGTATATGGCTTGCTATAAATGCTGCCTACTGTATTGTTTGCTCTGTGTATATTTAGTACCCACAATTGCTCTGTGTATATTTAGTACCTACAGTGAGCTTGGTGTTGTACAGAATGGAGAAATGGTGTGCTCTCTATCAACGCTGAAATGTCTCCAGACAGTCTCCAGACACTTTCCGTGCTGAGTCTCTTCTATGTATTAAAGAGGGCTCTAATATTATGACTTCATAAGTTATCTATGGTTATGAGGATCAGATATCTTCTAGAGTATACTAATTCAAGCAGCTTGTGGGGGTGTGATAACAGGTGTGAGGAAGGACATTCTCTGATACTACAGGTCACGGAAGACTTCTTATTGGATAGGCAATTGGCATACAGTGACAGTAACAGATGAAAATATCACCATAAGAGTCAAATCTGTCTCTAACCTTTAGCACTGCTGATCCAAATCAGATATCGCTTTGAAATGGATGAGGGGGAAATAGAGAAGGATGAGTAGAGCGAGAGAAGACTAGCTGCTTCTGCGTACTGTACTTCATGTATTGGCATTCAGCTGGAGTATATAAACCACAGGAGAGCAAGACTGACATACTGAAAAAGGAAAGAGTCTGCAGAAAGTTCATAGACAACATGGAGCCAGTGACAAAGGTGAAAAGGTAAGGGATATGTGAAGAATCATTCTGATTTGAGCAAGAATCTATCACAGGAGAGAATACTGATTTTGTGTTGAATAGCTGATTCAAGATGGAGACCTGCTTTGTTGATTTGTTGTTATTATCAACAACCTTTATTACCACAATAGAGAAGCAGGCTATGCTGTGAATCAACAGGGATTGCTCACCTTCTTACAATCTGAAACAGTGAAAGGGTTTTTACAAACACTCCAACACCATCATTTGGAGACAGGTCACACATTGTAGTGTTACGTGCAGTTTTAGAGTGCTTACCTTCCTTGACACCGCCCAGGGTCTCTGGAGGGATACTGATATCATAATTCAGTCCATTGGAACACAATGACTGTTCCCTGTGTTTAGTTTTATGTGGTGCAGAGACACACACTCCAATGCCTTGTGCATTTTATGATTTTGTCCATGGCATAACACCTAAACAATAAAGGCCATTTTCATTTTTTTAAAGTAAATAGCCCTTACGGCTTCAAAGAGTGGCTTGAAAATGCATGGACAATACTAGATGAATTAGCAGGACCCAGAGAGCATTTCAAGTGTTTCAGGAAACTGACTTTTATTTAATATAGCAGGTGGAAAATCAACTGACTGGAACAGGGGTTGCTGCTGGTGGTGGAAGAGTTTTTCATACATGATAATTATAGTCTCTACAGTTTCTGTCCAGGGACTAACAAATGAGAATGTATTTTAAAGCGTTACTGCAACTTGTCACAACAGCTCATATGAAGAGGTAATTTGAAATATAAATGCTACATTACAGACAAACAGCTTATCACTTGGCTATGTGCACACCATTGCTAGCTGGTAACTGAACCTCAGTAGTCACCCCAGAACCTAATAGAAGAGGTAGATCAGAGAATCGTAAATCAAATACTCTTAATGTAACTTGATGCCTCTGACCAGTATTAACAGCAAGCTATAGTATATGGCTTGCTATAAATGCTGCCTACTGTATTGTTTGCTCTGTGTATATTTAGTACCTACAGTGAGCTTGGTGTTGTACAGAATGGAGCAATGGTGTGCTCTCTATCAACGCTGAAATGTCTCCAGACAGTCTCCAGAAAATTTCCGTGCTGAGTGACTTCATAAGTTATCTATGGTTATGAGGATCAGATATCTTCTAGAGTATACTAATTCAAGCAGCTTGTGGGGGTGTGATAACAGGTGTGAGGAAGGACATTCTCTGATACTACAGGTCACGGAAGACTTCTTATTGGATAGGCAATTGGCATACAGTGACAGTAACAGATGAAAATATCACCATAAGAGTCAAATCTGTCTCTAACCTTTAGCACTGCTGATCCAAATCAGATATCGCTTTGAAATGGATGAGGGGGAAATAGAGAAGGATGAGTAGAGCGAGAGAAGACTAGCTGCTTCTGCGTACTGTACTTCATGTATTGGCATTCAGCTGGAGTATATAAACCACAGGAGAGCAAGACTGACATAACTTCTGAAAATTAAAAATGTTCATTATTTTTTGTTTTAATGTCGTTACTACTTGGAAAAAATGTCTGCATGACGGATAGGGCAGTCCTTTGATCCAGCTACAAGCCAGTGACAAAGGTGAAAAGGTAAGGGAAATCATTCTGATTTGAGCAAGAATCTATCACAGGAGAGAATACTGATTTTGTGTTGAATAGCTGATTCAAGATGGAGACCTGCTTTGTTGATTTATTGTTATTATCGACAACCTTTATGACCACAATAGAGAAGTAGGCTATGCTGTGAATCAACAGGGATTGCTCACCTTCTTACAATCTGAAACAGTGAAAGGGTTTTTACAAACACTCCAACACCATTATTTGGAGACAGGTCACACATTGTAGTGTTACGTGCAGTTTTAGAGTGCTTACCTTCCTTGACACCGCCCAGGGTCTCTGGAGGGATACTGATATCATAATTCAGTCCATTGGAACACAATGACTGTTCCCTGTGTTTAGTTTTATGTGGTGCAGAGACACACACTCCAATGCCTTGTGCATTTTATGATTTTGTCCATGGCATAACACCTAAACAATAAAGGCCATTTTCATTTTTTTAAAGTAAATAGCCCTTACGGCTTCAAAGAGTGGCTTGAAAATGCATGGACAATACTAGATGAATTAGCAGGACCCAGAGAGCATTTCAAGTGTTTTGGGTGATGGTTTCAGTATCTTCCGGCTGGCAGGAAAAGCAGGCAAAGGTACAAAATTACAAGGAACACAGTAGCATGTGTCTTTCTTTAAATAAAAAAAGCAAAAACAGGAATGCTCTGCATCTGCGTGGAGAAACTGAATGCTGATTCTTTTGCCATCTAGCCTTTCCCCCATTCAAAATAACGTATTTCAATAGTAAGTGTAAAATCTGTTAACCTGTTTGGAACGTATTTGGTGGGTGGGGTTATGCAAATATGGAGCTTATTTGAGTGCTGCTGTGAAATCAGTGAATGTTGTAATAGCATATGAGCTAATAAGCTATATTGAATATAAATTCAAACTAACTATTTGGGAAGGTATTGTTTGGGAAGAGTCATAGCTTAGAGACAGTGCACATGATTTTCATGCTCAAGGTCCCAGATTCAAACCCCAGCTTGTCTGGTTAAAAATATCTCAGGAAAGACCCCTGTTTGAATTCTTGGAGAGTCACTGACAGTCAGAATAGAAAATACCAGCCCAGACAGACCAAAGTATGTTTATATGTTGAGCATGATGTGTACCTTTGAACAATAAAATAGCGTTGCTGATTTTATGATCAAAATCGAATCAGTGAGCTACATGTCAGAGATTTGCCTCTCTTGAGCCATCTGTCATCCATGTTGCAAGGGAATGGTCGACTCTCAGAGGGTAGATCATAGAGACCTAACCTATCGTTCTTCAGAGAGTGAGTAGCAAATGATCATCTAAATTAGCCATTAACAGTGCTTTCATCTTTACGAAATCAGAGTCTGCAAAACAAAGCCAAGCACAATTACAGACTGCTGCGTAAGAGGTGGAGTATTCCCCAACGGATTTTGTCCTATGAATGGTCCCAGGTTGCTTGTGGTTAGAACCATAGATGAAGCTGATGGTTACGTTGCCAGGTATGCAAATGACCACATGTTCCCTTGTCATAGGGTTGGGAGGATAACTGTGGGCTGCTTGTGCTGACAACAGAGGGATAGGCAAGTAGTTATTCAGTCTTCTGAAGAACTATTCTCTCTTCTTTGCTCTAGGAGATTAAAAAGTGACCGTTTCGAGAGAGATACACTGTTGACCTCTTCAGATGAATCAGGTATTTCTGAAAATGAAAAATGTTCATTATTTTTTGTTTTAATGGAGTTACTACTTGGAAAAAATGTCTGCATGATGGATAGGGCAGTCCTTTGATCCAGCTACAGCAGAACTGATAACAGAGCAACTAGCTGCTCCCCCAGCTTCAAAGCCAACAGCACAGGATAAGCAGTAGGGAAGAAAGGCAGCAGAGCAACACTGATGGCCAATCTCACGGCATCAGAAGCAACTCTGTTATCCCCCGTGGCATTACCCATGGATGGTAGGCACCAATTGATTTTGCCTTGCTCCAGATTACCCCTGCTTGGAAAGTACCAATCAGCACATGCAGCTAAAACACCATAAAAAGCAAGATATAAAAATAACACAAAGATATTAGATAGCTAAAATAAACCCTCACTTGTTTTTTTAAATTAAACATAAGCCCCGGTCACACAGGCTGAATATCGCGGGGGGAAGTCGTGGCTAATTGCCCTGGTGCAGTTTGATGTGCAATTACGCGATCAGACGCACCGGCGGCACACCACGGGTCCTTCCCTTGGCACCGGCGGGTAAACGAGGGACCGGAGGGGAATGCCGCGCGCCAGCGCGATCACACCACGGGCATCTGGAGGCAGCCCATGGCAAACATTTACTAGTTCCTTGGAGGTACTAGTTTTTTAAGGCGCATTGTCGGCGGTAAGCCACGGGTGCACTCCCCTTCCCAGATGTTGGGGTGTGATCGTGCCCGGATAATCCGCCCACCATCCGTGCCTCTCTCGCAGCAACTTTGCCGTGTGACCGGGGCCATGATTAGTCAAATGCCTACTAGGAAAATGGAGGTTGCTGTTCTTTTGTTCCTTAAGGGTTCCTATGCCTTTGAATGCTGCATGAAAGCCAATAATGGGCAAAGTTTAATGCATCCCTGTACCTCCAATGCAGGATAAAGCTGTACTTACTACATTTCCTATTTTAAGCAACGTCCCTAGGTACCAGAATCTTGCCCCAAAGGGCTCCCTGTATAGGAGCCATTGCCAGGACTTCCTTTCTTGTAAATGCTGCTCCGATAGCTTCGCTTTCAGTACAGGTGAGGAATGACCTTCCATCTGTGAGTGCTGAATGGCTGCTTGGATGCCTGCAGAAAGATGAGAAGAACATGGTGATAATGAGTACAGTAGAAAGCATCTGGAACAGATAGATCCAGGTGGGCAGCCTTGTTGGTCTGAAGCAGCAGAACAGAGTTTAAGTCCAGTGGCACCTTTAAGACCAGCAAAGTTTTATTCAAGGTATAAGCTTGTGTGCATGCACACTTCTTCAGATACATTGAACTGGCAATTTCCAGTCCATCCATATAGGTAGAGAGTAAGCAGCAAATTAGCACACATCATAATAAAGTTGTTTTGACAGAGGCAAGGACCAAACTGGAATAACAAGCTTAGTTTATATGGTCACCATTTGTTTGGGTTTAATTTCGGGGGGAAACATAGTGAAGGAAATAAATATTGATGGCCAGTCGTACCCTTCTTAATTGCATAATGTTGGTAGTAAATAACTGAGAGTAATAGTTTTGGCCTAATAGATAAGTTGGCAAGGTCTCCAGCTGGAAATCAGGCGTGTGCCAAAGAGTACCTAACTCCTAAATAACACAATTTCTTGACACTTCTCCATCTATAAAGTTTGCACTGTTCATTCCAATGAAGCTTCTTAAATATTAAATATTATTTTGCCTATCCTGATCTGCTGAGTTTTTGTACTGTCAAGAAGACTGAAGTTCTCCATTGTGGCTTGTGATACAGTGACATTTCTCTCCAGCTATTAACGATTACCAATACAGCTTCACTTCCCAAAGAGCTCTGTGTGACCCACAGCATGAGAAGCCTTACACCGGAGGAGTACGCAAAGGCCTTTCAGTCATTCCTAGACCATTCAACTGAACACCAGTGCATGGACCAATTCAATAAGAAGGAGCTGCCCAATATAGTGGCCAGGTAAGGAACAAGCACAAAACATGTGGAGAAGATATCACATAGTGCCAGTGCTTCAAGGAATGGTCAAATGCTTATGGGTTCCTATTTTACCATTGCTGTAGATCACCTCCATGGATCAGGTTTGAACTGAAGGGGAGGATAAAACTATCTTCATCCATTTATCACTTGCAAAATGCCACAATATCTCTGCTTCAACACTAATTCAGCTAAAGCTGAGCACTTCCCAGTCTTGTTAATAAACTGAAAATGTTAAGCTTGTCCATAAATCTTTCCAGTTTATATCAATGGGTCTTAAGATGGGCCACCATATACATCTGGTGGGCTGCATTAGGTTTAGCAGGTCACAAACTGTACAAATTCTTTGGCTCATTTTCACTGATAGTGGCCACGCAGGCTGCCAGATTCTCTCACTTTATGCAAAGCATGTCCCCCAGTTCGGCATGCCTAGGGCATCTAGTTTAAATTGACCTCTCTGTTATTTTAAGGCTCTATAACTTTTCACAATCTCACACTTTGGTAGAATACTACCAGGGCTGCTTTCTGGGCATATTCTTGTTTAGATCAGGAAGAGATGCTAAAGCTGATGTGTGTCCTTTCTGATTTTTTTTTTAGAATTGATTTTTTGGATAAACAACTGAGATAGTGGACAACATTAAAAGTCTGGGCCTTGTTCCAGTACTTCCTTTGATGTGAACACACACACCATCTGTTGTGTTGTAATGAATGGAAGTCACCTCTTCTGGAAATACCTACAGTAGGGAAAAAAACCCCTCAAAATACTTACAGAAAACAACAGAAAAACAAATCAAATCTAAATCAATTTAGCAAGTATAGCAACACTGTTTTTTCATGTAGGAATGGGCACAAACTGAACCACGAAGCCAAGTTCGTCACAAATTTTGCCCTGTTCGTGGTTCCTGAACAGAATTCCATGACAGGTCTACCTTTATGAACTACCATGAATTTTTAAAGCAGTTTGTGGTGGTTTGTGGATGGAGCAGAAAGCAGGTATTTAAAGGGACTCTGAGTCCCTTTAAACCCCTGCTTTCTGTTCCTTGCAAAAGCTGCAAAACCAGCTGAGTGGTGGGGAGGTGCTCAGCCTGAAGAACAACTGTGCTACAGAGAAGAGCTCCTCACCGCTCAGCTATTTTGGGCTGTCTTGTGCAGTCCCCTTAAACTTTAAAAGGACTGCAGAAGACAACTCGAAAAACAGCTGCACTGCAGGGAGGTGATCCCCTGTCATGATCTGGGCTGTGCCACCAGTGGCCTACTAGGCCCAGAGAGCCTGGCTAGCAGTAGGTGAGGCTGGGCCTACAACTCCCAGAAGCTCCTGGGAGGTTTTGGAGCCAAAATGGACCAATGGGAAAAGAGGAGGACTTGGAATAAAAGTTCTGGAGCAGCAGGGAAGAGCTGTTCTTTCATCCAGAGGGCAGAGCTGGAAGGAAGGCTGCTGCAGGGGAGAGACCCTCATCCTGGGGGAAGGGTGAGTAGTGTAAGGCCACTTGAGATAGTGAGCTAGGGAAGGTATATTTAGATGTGTTAGGGCATTTGATTTCTTTTCTTTTCACCCACTTACTGTTATTATTCTGCACCTTTGTTCTTTGACCTCCTATAAAATAAACTTTTTCCTTGTTTTACTCTGCCTGGTCCTCACGCCTGTTATTTGGCCTAAAGGGAGGTCTGAAGGTCTTGGGAGGATGCTCTGGGCCTTCTCAAGGGAACCTAAATCCAGAGTGGTGGCAGCGTCAGGTGACACCCCACCTGAGCTGTGACATCCCCGCAGCTCAGTTCTTTCAGGCTGTCTTCTGGAGTCCCTTTAAACTACAGTGACTGCAGAAGACAGCCTGAAAAACAGTGTGTGGTGGCAAGATGCTCTCTGCCTCTCAGCTGTTTTGCCCAGTTTTTGTAAACCCTGTTTAAAGGGACTATGGTCCCTTTCAACAGGGCTTGTGGAGCCACAAACCTGTTCGGTTAAAAAACTTGCCTCCTGGTTTGGTTCGGTTCGTGGTTCGGTTCGTAGTTTGGCAATGAACCTCAAACTGAATTGAACGGCATTTTCCTGGTTCATGCCCATCCTTATTTTCATGTATTACTGCTGCTGTTAATAATTACTGTTCTTATCTGTTTACAAATTGGGGGTGTGCATCAAATGGTCACATGCCTATTTTGCACTTAATTGTGTTTTGACCCCCCTCAATTAAAATCTTTCCCCCCATGTGACCATAGGTGCAGTGCAAGCCCCCAAATGAGAGAACATACTTCACGCACATGATGGAGACTCTAGACCATGACAACATAGGCCACAATAGTCCCTTAAGTCTTTAAGTTGCCAGGGGACTCTCTAGTTGTAAGCCAGCATGGTGTAGTGGTTAAAGTGTTGGACTAGGATTTGGGAAACCCAGGTTCAAATCCTCATTCTGCCATGGGAACATGCTGGCTGACCTTGGGCCAGTCACACACTGTCAGCCTAACCTACCTCACAGGGTTATTGTAAGGATAAAACAGAAGAAAGGAGAGCAGAATGATGTAAGATGCTTTGGATCCCCATTGGGGAGAAAAGCAGGATATAAAGTATATAAATAAATAAATAAATACAACTTCCCTTCCGAAGTCTGCACATTTGTGGCACCTTGTGACAAAATATTAAGTACGTATGTTTTACCACTTGCTATCAGAATGCTCATACTGTAGCTGGGGCTCTCAGTAAGCTATGATGTGAATTTGGAGGAACATGCATTATATATTTTCCTATCCAAAGTTTTGGGACCATTTGTTAATGCATTAGTGAAAATAACAAGCAGTTAAATAAAATAAAATGTGATGTAATCATAAATGCTTATAATTTCAGTCTTGGAAATGGAAAATCGACTATCAATGTGCTAGGTGTGGGAAGTGGCACAGGTAAGGAATGCAGCAATGTACTCTGTTTCACTTTAAGGTTAGCAGTTCGTTAAATTCAATATTTCTTCTTCGAAGCCAAAAAATGACTTGCTTCCATCAGTATAAGTCAACACAGATATCAGAACAATTTCATGAAACACACACAAACCATAAAATGCAGCTAATATCCTGGTCCTGACCTGGATAGTCCAGGCTAGCCCAATCTCATTAGGTCCTAGAAGCTAAGCAGGGTCGGTCCTGGCTAGTATTTGGATAGGAGACCTCCAGGGAGTACCAGGGTTGTGACATGGAGGCAGGCAAGGGCAAAACACCTCTGGACGTCTCTTGCCTTGAAAACCATATGGGGTCGCCATAAGTCAACAGTGACTGTGACGTGACAGCAATGTTCCCTCTAAGCTGTGGAGTCTTGTGAGCAAAAATTCTATTTTGTGAGCTACTGGCTTTATAGTTGTGAGCAAGTGATTTAGCTACTGCATAAATTTGTTTGCTCTGGAGCAGTCCTTCCTGAGCTAAGACAAAAATGTGTGAGCCGGAGGCTAAAAAACTGTGAGCTAGCTCACACTAACTCAGCTTAGAGGGAACACTGCTTGACAGTACTTTCCACTACCAATAGCCTGGTAGCAAAGCATTAAGAGCAGCAGCAGCAACAGTAATATTTACCATGTGATTTCCAGTGTGATATATTTCATTCGTAACTGGTATTCTTAGGCCCCAGGTCACATGGAGCATTTGCCGCACTGAAGGCACGATTCTCCCGCAGAGTTTTCCGGTGCGATCACACCGGAACATCTGGGAGGCGTAGCGCTCCCGTGGCGAACCCATGGCATCCCACTGAAGATGTGCATTAAAAAAGTACCTGGGACAACCTACTGGCAAATGGCTTGCCATGGTCTGCATGTGGATTCCCCCGGTGTGATCGCGCCAGCACGCAGCTTCCCCCCCCCCCGCCGTCCTGTTTGCCGTGGGGGCCAAAGGAGGAAGCCGCTGTCGCGTCTGACCGCATAGTTGCGGATCAAACTGCCACGGTGCAAATAGCCACGCCTCCCCCTGCGTTATCCGGCCCGTGTGACCGGGGCCTTACTTTCACTGATATAAATGAAGCTAAATAGGAATTGGTACTACTGGAGATTTAATTTGCTTCTTTATTTTTAAAATTTATTTATAAATTCAATTTATAGCCCGCCCTCCCCGCTGACGGAGGCTCAGGGCGGCTCACAATCAGGCATAAGCCAGCACATAAAACACATTTAAAACCATTTAAAAATCATTTCTACAATATTATGACATTATTATTATTAAGTGCTCTGGATGTTCTGAATAGATTTTCTAATAGATGACATATTAATGCTGTTATACCCACTCAGTGCCGTCTGTTCCGCTTGGCGCTGTTGTTCTTTCTTCCCGGGCCAGATAATGATGGTACAGTAGTGGCGGCTCCTACTCAAATGCCTGGCGGAAGAGCTCCATCTTGCAGGCCCTGCGGAACTGTGCAAGGTCCCGCAGGGCCCACCTGGCCATATAGGGCTTTAAAAGTAAGAACCAGCAATTTGAAGCGAATTCAGTACGCTATCGGCAGCCAGTGCAGTGCTTTCAGAACAGGCCAGATGTGGTCCCTGCTAGGAAGACCCATCAACAGCCTGGCCGCAGCATTCTGCACCAGCTGCAACTTCCGGATTTGCGACAGAGGCAGCCCCATGTAGAGAGCGTTACAGTAGTCTAGCCTCGAGGTGACCATTGCGTGGATCACTGTGGCCAAGTCACTGCGGTCGAGGAAGGGAACCAGCTGCTGCACCAGGCGAAAGTGGTAAAAAGCTGACTTGGCGGTGGCTGCCACCTGGGCCTCCATAGTTAGCGAGGAGTCCAGGAGCACTCCCAAACTCCTAACCTCTGGCGCTGGCACCTAAGTCACCCCATCGAAGGTCGGGAGAGGGAGCCCCAACCCCAGACCACCCCGACTCAGGCCCAGGACCTCTGACTTAACAGGGTTTAACTTCAGCCGACTCAGTCAGAGCCAACCAGCCACGGCCTGCAACGCCCTGTGTAGATCTTCTGGACTAGAGCTCGACCGGCCGCCCAACATCAGATAGACCTGGGTGTCATCTCTATATAAAAGAGATCTTTGCCATGCTCCCCATTTCAGAGGATGGCTTTGGATGTCACAAACACGTGTCCTATGAGAGATGCTTGATTTGCCTAATAACGCTTATCCACATGGGGCTGGCAGTTCTTGGTTGCAATGTGTGCAGGGTCTTGAATCGCCTATAAAACTCTAGAAGCTAATACTATGCAGGTGTTGCTCATGTGTAACATCCAAAACTACACTGTGAGTTAAACATAAACTGTGATTTTGAAAAAGCAAGATTCTTAATAAAGATTTCATGCACATTTATTGTATAGGAGAACAAGACTTGAAAATGATCAGAATAATCCAATCCAAGCATCCAGGAGCCTTCATTAACAATGAAGTCATAGAGCCCAACCCAGAACATATTCTGGCATACAAAGGTATAGCATTGCATTACTGTTGACGGAAGATATCGGAACATATATTTTGCCTTATTAAATTTCTTTTGTTTTTTTCATAAACAGAAGCAATTAAGAATTCTTCTGATCTCAACAATGTCTCATTTACCTGGCACCAGTTAACATCCATGGAATATGAAAAGCAGGCAAAAGAGTGGAATGTAGGAAAGAAATATGACTTCATACACCTGATCCAGGTAAATTCAGCATTAGTCACATAAACCTTCCTGGTTTGTGAACTATGTGTGGTACAATCTCATGGCTTTTGATTTGCTGGGGTTGCAGAGACTTGGGCAGGACAATTTCTCTACCTTCCCTTTCCCCATTTAATGGGGACATTTAATCAACTCACGATTCTACCTACTGTTGAATGTTTTCAGTCCTCATTAGGCTGGCTTTTAAAGATTTCCCCCTCTTTTGCTTAATTTACTAAGCCATATCTTTCTACATTTCTGAGGAGTTCCTCGAGTACGTAGAGATATCTAACTTCTATAAATTTACCTTCATAACGGATAAGCACTTTATTTATTTGTTTTCTTCATTTATCACCCACCTTTCTTGCAAAACTCAAGGCAGATTGTGGGACATAAAACAATCAGACATCTGAGAATTCCAATTAACAAGGTAGTAGGATTAGGTTTACAAAACTGGACGACAATAAAAAAAGAGGAAATTTTAAGGCCTGATGTGTCCTGACCTGAATAGCTCAATCTCTTCAGATCTCGAAAGCTAACCAGGGTTGGTCAGTATTTGGAAAGGAGGCTACCAAGGAATACCAGGATCATGATGCAGAGGTAGGCAATGGCAAACTGAACATCCCTTGCCTTTAAGTGGGTCACCATATTTTGAAAAGCAAAAAAGAGGACACATTTCCTGACTGACTACTTCAAACAAGGGATCACTACGACACATCTCATTTTAAATACTCCTACTATAGAAGAAGAAGATTAATACCCCACCTTTCTCAGAGCGGCTTACAATCTCCTTCCCTTCCTCTCCCACAACAGACGCCCTGTGAGGTAGGTGGGGCTGAGAGAGCTCTTAGAGAACTGCTTGTGAGAGAACAGCTCTGAAAGAAATTGTAACTGACCCAAGGTCACATCAGCAGCTGCATGTGGAGGAGTGGGGAATCAAACCCAGTTCTCCAGATTAGAGTCCACTGCTCTTAACCACCACATGTAACTGCTAAACTGTGATAATTGATACTAACTAGGGATATTCCTAACCCGGCCCGTAGCTACAGTGGGGCCTCTTGGGGCCCAGCCTCCCCCAACTCCCCATCCAGCCCAGCTCCCCCAACTTTCAATTTTTAATTTTATTTATGGTGCTTGCTTGGTGTGTGTGAGGGTGCCCCCTGACTTATTTAAAGCCCCCCCCCCAATTAAAAAAATCCTGGCTACGGTCCTGTTCCGAACCTTCCAACCCAAAAAGAGCCCAAAAGAGAATGGACACACACAAAAAGGGGACTCTTGGGAACCCTACTTGAAAACACCATGGGGTCGCCATAAGTTAGCTGTGACCTGACAGCAAAAAAGAAAGAAAGAAAGACATGACATACCACAATGCAAAAAGTGAGTAACAAATGCAATAAAAGGCTGCTGAAGTGAGTTCTGATGTACTAGCGGACTCCTGTTTTTATTTTCCTGTCTCACCTCTGGCTTTCCTGGGTCTGAGGCTTTTGTCCTCCATACAAGGGTCAGCCAGTTTTACCATTAGATCTGTCAATGTAGAAGGTGTTTGCACCAAACGTGTCACAGAAGCATTAGAAAAACCCAGTGTAGCATATAACTGGTGACAGTATATCTTTTGTTACATGCTAAATATGTGTTGCCTGACAGAAATTTTTTAAAAAGCAGCTTTTCCTTTCAGGTGGAACATTTTCTAAATATCATTAGTCAGAATCATTCCATGGTTTTCATGAGTTTGAAGGAGATGCTGATGACCCACTTAAGTAGAGCTTCTTATTCAGACTAGGCTTGATCACTCACCATTCTGAGGAATTAGTACAGTGACAAAAGAATCGTCTTGGTTTGTCAGACAGCTTCTTTGCTCCAGCAGCAGCAAAAATGGTGGTTTGGGGGGGACAGCACTTCTGGTTGTATGTTGCTCCTCACCCTCCATTTTTGCTCCCACGGGAGCGAACAGCAGTGATGG